CCCCAGACTGCCCCAGTATTGCAGGGGAGGCTGCCCCAGGGCAGAGAGGAGCAGGACAAGCCCCTCCCTGGATCCTGCCCCCTCTGCCCCACGGGCCATTTCAGCTGCTGTGCTGGAGCAGCCCGAAGGTGTGAACTGCTGATGCCACTGGTGCCTCCTGACTCTGGAGCAAAGCCTTTGTGCTCTCTATTGCTGCACTTGCAGGAGTTTTTCTCCCTGAAGCCTCTCTCGTGGTGTGATCTGGAGCCCTGGATGTGAATCATTTCTGCTGTGCAGACAGGCAGGGCTTTGGGAGGATTTTATTCGCCTTCACTGGGGAAGCCAAGATTGGAGGTGTCGAAAGTGGTTATTTTTTATAGTAATTCCTGCTGAAGTGGTGAACTGTGTGTGAATGAATCCCTCTCCTTTGTGTGGAATTGCTGCCCCTCAGACTCTCCTCTCAGGGGGTGCTGGGGACAGTTGGTTCAAGGGGGAATGCATTGTCTGAGCTGAGCCCATGGTGCTGGAGGCTCAGGGCACACATGGCTCCCAGTGACAGCTTTCCTGGGGGCTCAGCCTCAGAAGTTGGCTGAAATACACATTGCAAGATTTATGTCTCTTTTCTGAGTCACATCTCCTCAGGAGCCTGCTATATTTATATTTTTAGTTGTTACTTGGAGCAATTTATAACAGGGATTCCCAGCTCAGTTGCTGCTATTCCCTTGCAGTATTTTCATCACATTAGGCCTTGTGTCTGCTGCCTCCTGTTTGCTTACATATTCACATGTCTCTCCTGGCACTTTGGACTACTCCAGACTCTGTTTCCATCCATCTGGGGCAGCCCAAACCCTGTGGTGGCTGGAAGTGGCTGCAGTGGAGGGGGATGGGTGCTGAGAGTAGCCACAGTCCCCCAGCTGAAGAGCCAGTGCTCTATGTGGGTTTGGACCATTTCCCTTTCAGCTGCTTTTCCACAGTTCTTGCGATCCCTTGGGATCCCCCTTTGGCATCCCAAGCAGAGAAATCCATCGGAGAGGTTGTCCTAACCTGGGCCCAGTCTGCAGCAGATGCTGCTGCTGTGGATCCCCCGTTCCTCCCCTGCACCCACCTGTACCCCCACGGTCCCCCTGGCTCTCCCTGTCTCAGGGGGTGTTCCTGCCCTGCACAGATCAGAGATGCCATATTTCCTGTTCTTTTCTTCTTTCTTCTTGCAAGCCTCATGCCCTGGCCCTGGGCCAGGGTCATTTGAAGAACCTCAACACATGGACATTGCTCAGGGCAGGAGTGTCAGGGCAGAGAGGCAGAGAAGTCCCACCATGGGGCTGTTTGGAGAGGAGAGGAAGAGCAAAAGGCACTTGTGCTGTAAATCAGGAGAAAGGGAGGAGAGTGTTTGTCAGATGTGGACCATTTCCTAATGCTGGGAATACCATCAGGTCAGTCTGTGTGTTTTGGAGGACTGAGTTATCAGGAGAAATTTCATACAAGACTGCTTAAGCTCTCAGTCTGGGCTGTGCTCTACAAGAAACATTTTGGAGAGGACTTTTCAAGTAATGCTTTCAATCAGAAATGTTTCTGAGACAGTGAAGAGAATCCTTCTGCTTTGAGACTTTCTCTCAAGTGTCACACGCACGGGCTGGGTTCCTGCCATGGTGCTGATTCTCAGTGCTGAGCTGTTCAGCATACAGAATTCAGGAGCACTTTCGATGCTCCCTAGTGAAGTAAAATAGTGCTGCAGAAGCCTTAAGAAATTCTGTGTGACCCCTGACATCTTGTTAGCGAGCCACAGGGACAGATGGGGCTTGGAAATTTTTAATAGGCTTCAGCCATCATTATTCTTTGGAAATGCATCCACTTTAAGGGCTTTTTTCTGATTTCTTTTTGCACAATTTAGATGGAAAAGCAGTGGAACGTGGCTCTCCTGTTGGATATACACGAAATCGATATTCAGGGACGTGGATTTTTGACCATGCATTGAGATACACAGCCGGTATGTGATGGAAGGGTGTGAAAGTCTAACCAGGGATCAGGGAGCAAGGGAAAGCTCTGGATGCAACGGGTGTGTTGCCCAAATTCCAGCTGTGAGGCTCAGGAAAAGCCTGGCACCAACTAACCAAAAAGCTTCCCCATCTCCCCTCCTACTACAACCAGCTTTAACCTGCATGACACATCCTGATGTGGACAAAGTCTGAGATAGACTCCGGCCATGGTGGTGCCCGAGGCCACACGGGCGTGTTCTTTGCAAGGCCTTAACACACAGCAGTGTCTTATTTCCTTCACTTCATCCTTCCTCCACTCTAATAACATCCTTTTTTGTGGTAAGTCACCCTTCCTTTCTCTACTGTGATGATCTGTGTGCTGAGCACACAGCTGTGGCTGTTGAGTTGTCTCTCAGAGCCTGCGGGACTTCAGGTCTGTAACACACCTCCCTCCCACCCTCCACACACTCAGTGTCCTCCTGGGGCACTGCTCTACCATCCACAGGTAGGAGGGGGGTGGAGATGTCCCCTTTGAGGATGACTCCAGCCTTCCCTGAGTTGCACTTGAGACCTGGGTGCTCAGTGCATCTGCATAAAAGCCAAGGGACACGTGGTCCCTCTCCTGCCCTTGCTTTCCAGCACAGCCCCTGCCCGAGGGCTGCAGCACCATTTGGGTTTGCATTGGAGAGGGAAGGCACTGCACCTGTACAGGTGATACTCATGGAGAACTTCTGCAAGACCAAACACATTCATGTGCCATAGCCTATATCCAGAGGAAGGGGGAAATATAAGAAAAACAGAGAAAAAAATTCAACCTAGAGCCACTCACTCTGTTTGACCTGTTTTCATAGACTCATAGAACCATAGAATGCTTTGGGATGGAAGGGACCTGAGCATGGGCAGGGACACCTTCCACTAGACCAGGTTGCTCTAAGTCCCATCCAGCCTGGCCTTGGACACTTCCAGGGATGGGGCAGCCACAGCTTCTCTGGGCAACCTGAGCCAGGGCCTCACCCCCCTCACAGAGAACAATTCCTTCCCAATATCCCATCTAGCCCTGCCCTCTGGCAGTGGGAAGCCATTCCCCCTTGTCCTGTCCCTCCATCCCTTGTCCCCAGTCCCTCTCCAGCTCTCCTGGAGCCCCTTTAGGCACTGGAAGGAGCTCTCAGATCTCCCTGGAACCTTCTCTTCTCCAGGTGAACCCCCCCAGCTCTCCCAGCCTGGCTCCAGAGCAGAGGGGCTCCAGCCCTCTGATCAACTTAGTGGCCTCCTTGGACTTGTTTGAGCTTTTCCCAGTGCTCCATGTGCAGCCAGCTCTGTGTTGGGATGTGGGTGGGCATCACTCATGTTCCTCTGTTGGTTCATCTGACCCTCAGCTTTGCCCAGGGCTCCTGGTTGTAGGGCCAAGTAAGGGTGAGTGCACTCGTCTGCTGGCTGTGCTGCTTCAGGGTTCCAGCTGGAATAGCTTTCAGGAAATAATTTTGGAGGTTGGTGATGAAAATAATCAGTCCTTGAGCGTGGAAAATGAGGGCTGGCAGGTGCTGCCAATTCACTGATAGCCAGGATTTCATGTGGGAAAGACTGTGTGGAGTGACCACAGGTGATGACTGTCCCATATATGTGTATCTGGATATAAAACACAGTGAGCTATGATAATAAAAATGCTCTAGAGCAGATCAGACACAGTGAACTGCCTGTGCTATCAGTGGATCTGAGTATTTTCTCAGATGTGTGCTCTGGTGTATCCAACTGTGGCAAATGGCCTCTTCCAGCATCAGGGACAAAGCAGCCTCCAAAGCTCACAAGATATTCCTGAGTGATGCCAGCAATGAAGGACAGGGAATTCAGGGCTGTTACAGACTGAAAGGAGGGTTGTTTTCTTCCCAAGCTGCAGAATAGGATGTGGGAAGGGGAAAAGGGACCGTGGGTATAACATGTTCAAACAACATGTTGATTTTGTTCCTGGCAAGAGCTCACTTTGAGTAGCATCAGGTAAGTTCTGCTGTGAGATGCTGGTTGGGAATGTTTATTTGGATATGTGTGTGAATGTTCTTGTTTATGGCTCATCCCTGAGTTTGACTGTCTGGCATGGTCAGGAAAAGACTGTTTCAAGGTTGTGTGAGGAAGCGTCCATGGAAGTGAAACACTGTGTTCACACCAAACCACAGTCAGCCCTTTTTTCCCCCACCTCCTCTTCAGTAAGTGCTGCTCTTGCCCTCCTGAAGAGCACTGAGGGGATCCCAGTTCAGTAGCTGCTGGGGGACAGCTAAGAAAAGCAATGCATTGTGCCAATGAGAGCTTGGGAGGTGAATTTATAGCCTGTCCACTGAAGTGGAGTGGGGAAAAAAGAGGTTGAATCAACTGAAATAACAAATCTGAGGAAATTTCTGTCTGCCTGTTCAATAAACAGAAGAGCCTAAATCCATGGCATAATTTCATCATTACAAATGGTTCTCCCAGCTCTGCTCCTCTGGGTTCATTTCAAATGACTGTTTGCAGATGTGTGTTTTCTGGAATTAGAGACACAAATTGAGAAGAGAGACTACTGTGGTCATGTGCTTTTCCTTAAAAAGGGCAAAAGTTCTATTTGTATCTATTTGGTTTCCTCTGGGTGGATATTTACCAAATCTCTGTGGGTTTCTTGGGAAATTTGTAAGTTGTGCATTTCTTGAGAAATTTTGTAAGCTCCTTGCCTCAAGATAACATATTGCCTTCTTTTTTCAGTTGAAAAGCTTTTTTTCCCAGCTAGCAGGAACTTACTGAAAAGTAATTCAAGGTTATTTCTGTCCATAGGAAACATTAGTCATTATTATAAAATTATAAGTCAGGCTATTTTGAGAGTGGCACTTTCACGTTAGCAAAGTTGAAAAGATACTCTGAAAATGTAAGTTCAGGGTAATATGCCAAGGAATCTTAAAGAAGGCTGGAAAAAGAATAGAGTCTGGGATAGTGATTTCCTGCATTTATCTCCATGAACCTTCCAAGAATGACTTTGCTGCAAACTGCATTCTTTTGCCCACAGTGTATGGATCAGTGTGTGGGGAGGCTGTTTTTCCTGATCTAATGTGGTGATGTGTTTCTTCTCTTTCTTGTTTTTCAGGGTCTTATGAGTGTGGAATATGTGGGAAGAAATACAAGTATTACAACTGTTTCCAGACCCACGTGCGAGCACACAGAGGTATCTCACTGCTGCTCAGATCTCTGGGAATCCTGGGGAAACACGCAGGTTCAGGGGCTATGAAGCTGTGCCAGGGCAGGGTCAGGCTGGATCTCAGGAAAAGGTTCTTCCCCCAGAGGGTGGTTGGCACTGACCAGGCTCCCCAGGGCAGTGGGCACAGCCCCAAGGCTGCCAGAGCTCCAAGAGGGTTTGGACAATGCTCTGAGGGACAGGGTGGGATTGTTGGGGTGTCTGTGCAGGGCCAGGAGCTGGACTGGATGGTCCTGGTGGGTTCCTTCCAGCTCAGGAGATTCTGTGATTTTATGTCTAATTTCAGGAAAATCTTGAAGGTTTCTCTGCACCTTCCCTGGTCACCAGTAAAGCTTCTTTAGGTGGCTCATTGAGAGGATAAACTTTGGGGTTGTCTCAGCTTTGTGTCTCTCTACTCCAGTGACATTTCTTCCAAGGTCAGGGGCAGCTGCTGTGTTTGGTGCAGTGTTTCCTGCACAGGGCTCTCGGGGGCATCGCTGTGTGCTGGGGGAGCTGCAGATCAGGAAGGTTATCCTGGCAGGTTCCACACACTGAGTGTGGTGGCATCTCCCCGAGGTGCTCCATGCTCCTGCCCTGCTGGGTGTTTCAGCCATCCCTGATAAGTCAGGAGGGGAGGATAAAAGTCAGATATGCTGCTGTATTTTTATGTTGAAACCAAAATGCTCCTTGAGTTCCCCCCATGCTCCTGCTGTCAGCTGAGGTCACTTCCCCAGTGCACTGTGTAGCTGAAATGTCTCGTGCTTAGTCAGGAATGGCTTTATTTGAATTTTCTGTAAGACTGGACAATCCGATGTCGCTTAATTGCAGAAATGTGAAAGTTTGTGGTGGTTTGTACAAGTTTGCAGGATTTGGAGAATTGCATATCTGAAATACCAGAACAACAGGGACTGAAAAGCAGCTCCTGAGCTTTCCAGTGGGCTTATTTTCTGTCCCCTGAGGTGAGCACTGAAGTCTGTGTGTCAGCCTGGCAGGAGCATCTGCTTTAGCTCCTCTGTTTTAACCAGCAATGTTAGTACTGCTGGAATGTCTAAAGGAGCATAAAGAGAACTCCCAGTGAAAAGTTTGAAAATCCAGGGATAATCAAGGCTAATGCAATATTAGATTTTAAATGTATAAACTCTCAGAAGTCAGCACATGCCCAGCTGAGAAGGGAACGTGTGTCCTTAATTGCTCAGAGTTTGTCACAATCTCTCACATGTCCCTTAACTGCATGTTCCTCGTGTGCTGTTTAATATCACAGAGCTGCCTCAGTACCCTTAGATACGCACTGAATTGTTTTCCAGTGCTGGTATTTCTTTTCTAAATACCAACAAAATTCCTGAAAGTCCTTTAAATGTAACTACTAATTAGCTTCACTCTGCAGATTAAGGAAAAAAATCCCTAAAATAATAGGGATATGCTTTAGCATTACATCACAGCATTGCAATAATTTTGCAGTAATAATTGCAGTATTTAAATTTGGGACAAGGATGGCTTTTATTTTACTTCTCTTCCCCACACACTATGGGATCTTTAATTTGGGTGGAATTTCAGGAGCTCTGTTAGTATGAGATCACCTCCTAGTGTGTGATCCAATTGATTTGTATTTATTTATATTTGATAATGAAATTAAGCTATATATTAAATTATCTGTATGCATCAACCTGTACAATTGATATCCATGGTTTTGACATGAACTCAGTGGAGACATGACTTTACTTTTGCTCCCAAAGCCTTTGTCATGTGTAGCTGTAGAAGAGGGAAATTTCCAAAATTTTGTAAGTGGAAATCTATCAGTAATTTTCACATCAGTGGTGGAGAAACAGAATTTATATATACTTATGATACTTAGAAAATGTTTTATGTTGGTGTAAATGGATGCATGTAGTGTAACATTTAAAGTGCATTTGCATTGCCTTAAGACAATAAAAATCCAAGCGAGGTATTTATTCATATACACTCTGCAGCAAGAACTCAAACGGCAAACATGCTGCAGCTCTGGAAGTGGGATTTTCCCAGGAGCAGATCCTGAGCTGCAAGTAAAGCAGTGGGACAGTGTGTGACCTGTCTGCAGATGAATAACCTGCCAGAGAAAGGGCATGTAAAGGAAGGGCAGGAAAAAGAAGGAAGAGTTCTCTGGAGGAAAGCCCTTTGTGATATTACCCAGTGAGACCTGTACATGGACTGTACCAGGAACAGTGCTGGAATAGCATAGGACTGCAGGAGCGACGGGAATTTTTGTGAAAGATGCTTTTATTGCCCCACTTCATGGAGGAGAAGAGGCCTGTGCTGCCCCATCGTGACACAGGTGGGATAACGTGGCGGTGACACTGCCCTGGGGGTGTCACTCTGCACGCTGCAGGTTTTCACAGTCTTGGATAAAGCACTGGCAGTCCAGCTCTCCCAGGGCTGCTTTCCTCGAGGCACTGGAATGTGAGCTCCCTTGGCCCATTAAGTGCAGTTAATCAGCTGCCAGAAACTCCGATCCTGAATCCTGCAGTCCTGTCTTTTTCCTGGGCAAGGGAGGAGTTGTGCTGCACTGGCAGGACCTGGCATTCCCTCTTTGAGGGATGGATTTTCTGAGTGTCATCCGTGGCTTCCCTGAGGTCTGAGCCACCTATCAGTCCCCGAACATCTGCCTTTCCCGAAGGTTGGACTGACCCTGGGAAACTCACCAGCTCAGCATCAGAGAGGGAGAGCAAACATAGGCCCCTCTTTCTTCTCTTTAGGTGCTTCCTTCCAGGGCTTTTTGGGCATTCCAGTGGAAATCCCTGCTGTTTGGGATTTGCTGTAGGATACAGCTCTTCCCCTTGAACAGTCCTCTACTCTCTGCTTCCTTCTGGGGCTCCCATGTCACTAAGGGGCCTTGACCAAGCCGTGGGTTGATCCTGCAGATGGACAGAGCAGGTGATACAAAAGGTTCAGCCCACGGGGGAACAGATAAACTGGAGCTGATCTGGTTTGCACCTTTGGAGCAGAACAAAACATCTGTCTTTCCAGCACCACTGTCACCACTCAGTGACACAACAGCTGGGCCCAGGATGGGAGGTTTGGTGGTCTCCAGTTGTTCTTGCTCTGAACTGAGCTGGTTTTTGAGTGCAGTGCCCAGTGTGGAGCTGTGGCAGGGCAGCCTGGGGCTCACAGCTTGTGGCCAGCATGGGGGGATGGTCTGTTGCCCTCTGCTCGTGCAGTTTATCTGTCCTTGTCCACCCTGTGCAGAACTTATGTGTCTTCTCATCCTTTGAGCTGTTTGGTTCCACATGAAGAGTCTTGCACTGGCAACATCTTTTTTTTCTTTGGAATGAGTGTTTTTTTGAGGAATTTTCTATATTTTTTTTTATAACTGCTCCGGCCTCTTCTCTAGCTCTCCGTGGCAGACAGGCTGGTTGGATGTCACCTGTGTTCTTTAGGCTGATTTCTTCCTTGTCTTCCTTCAGGAACAAGGGAGTTTATATTGGAAAACTGGGTATTTTCTTAGTTTACTGAGCTTTCCCTGTGGTGCTCACTATTGGCTGGAGAATTTCAGGCAGCAGTTGATCTCCTGGCAGTTTGCAAGTGCAAACTTTGGGACATTAGGATGGTTTAGTTCCTGTTCTGCTTTCCTCTGAAAGCTGAGATGCAGGCACAGAAATCCCCATGTCAGGGCTCTGCACAGGGCCAGAAACGTAGGTAAGAAATTTCCTCACTACATTTTATCAAGGAAGAAAGTTCCTTCCCCTTTTGCCTCTCCAAAACACACCAATAAAATAAAAAAGAAACCTAACAACAAAAGTTATGTTGTGGAGCTGAAAGGCTCCTTTGTGAGCTGATGCCTGCAGGATCACGGCTCCTTCCTCCTGCCGAGCTGCTGGAGTTCAGCTGGAGCAGAGGGGCTGCACATTCCTGGTGCTGATGGAAGGCTCTGTCCCAAATGTTACTGCTTCGCCTACACGCAACCCAGGGCTTAAAAATGTTTTGCTTACAGTGCTTTTATTTTAGCTGTGTGGGGTTTTTCAAGTCATTAAAAGGTTTGGATTGCCTTCAGGAGTTAGTCAGCTAGAAAGTTCTGCTTTGTACGGTTGGGTCGTGTTTGAGCAACATGAGCAGCAAAACATCCGCATGTTTTGAGTCAGGAAAATTATTTCACTTTTAGATAACTCAAAAAAATGGCTGAAATTGCTTTATTAGACTTTCAAACAGTAAATTTATAAACTTCTGGGCTGAGGCCAAGCAAGGGAGATTTTTACCCAAAGAAGAATTCTTCAGAAAGCAAAGCAAGAAAATAGCAAGGCTCGAATTTAACCCTCGCAGGATATCTCGCCTCTGGCCCAAGAATTGGTGGAAGTTCTCTGCTTCCAGATAAGCCTTTCTGGGCTGAATGATGATTTTGCTCAAGTTGTTTTCCATTATTATTTATTTACATTATTTAGTTGTTGCACTACCCCCCCTCCAAACCCATCAGCTCCCAGTGTCCTCTCCGTGTGGCTGTGCCAGCCGACAGCTGAGCTGCCCTCACCAGAACAGACACTGAACACACCACACTGGGACTGAGTTCTTCAGGCCAAGCTTCTAGTTTCACCAGTTGTTAAAAAGCTTCTCAAAGCTTTGAAAGTTTCAGATTAATGTTTTCCAAGAATGGGTTCTGCTCAATGCAAAAAAATATGAAAAGGAAGATGACTCATTCAGATGGTGAATATGGAAAAACGCTTTTTTCCAAAGCGCACATTTTTGGAGTCTGAGTTAGAGCAGTTCTGTCACTGAGTGGATTTTGAGGTGAGAAGTAGAAAATTCATAGCGAAATAACCATCCCTGAGTAGAAAGGTTGTTCCTGAGCTGTAGGCAGTTGGGGTTCACTTGTTTGCTTATCTACTACTGAAAAATCGGAGGATTTTGAGGAGGTCCTTTGCCCTCTGCTCTGCATCCCAAGATCCATTTTTTCCTGTGCACATTTCCCAGTCTGCAGCAGATATTCATATGAGATGGAGAAATTTTCTTGGGACATAGGAGTTAAC